TTTAATGTCTGCAGGAATGAAATCGGCCTAGGCGATCGGAACAAAAGACCCTCCCTACACATTTTACTTTTAATTTTTATTATATTTTAATGCCCATCTTTGTCGTACACCTCGACAGGGTTACGTATTGTCCATGTGTAAATATTGTCTTTTTTGAATTAATAATGAAACCTATTTTTTTTTTTTCAAAACGTTGTCCTTGTGACTTATTTATGGTCATAGCAAATGCTAGCCGACTGGGAATTGAAACCGATTCAAAACAAAAGGCATTTCGGTATCTCTCTCGGGTGTCTAAATATATTCGAGGGATGTGCACAATATCTCCCTTTTGGTTCCCAGTTAATATTGTCAATTTTTCCTACTATCAAACGGGTCCCGTTACATAAACTGTCCCCTCATAAATTTCTCGATAGCATAACTATACAACCTGCTTTTTAGTGTAGGTCTGCAGGAGGCAAACCCGAAGGTGTCATTAATTGTAAATATTCATTGGGATATTGTAAACTTCTTTCATTGTCGGCTTTGTCACCAGCTTGTGCTTCAGCGTAATATATGGAAACAAAATATCTCCTGGTTGTCGTTTCACAATAAGATGATTGATTTTTTCCCTTCATCATTCGTAGCTGCTAATACAGCTCATTACTCATTTTTTCCTAAGATAAATCAAGAGGTCGCGTTTATATAACGTATTCTTGTTGTTATAAGATAATTATTGTGATACGTACATCAATATGTACAGGGGCGCTGGATTGTTGGTAGCACTCTGGATTTTGACCTTAATGATTCGTGGTAAAAGTATTAAGTAGTACACTACTTTTCGTGGTCCGCTCGAACAATTAATATCTTTCAATTAATTAACGTTTTTAGTTGAGATAAAAAGTCAACGAGCGGGATTCGAACCCACGACCTCCGGCTAGAGACACGCCGCTGCTCTACCACTAGAGCTATCGTGACTTCGATCCGCTCGAACAGTAACTTCCCATCTCAACCTCATCTCTCGAATTTTCCCTCCTTTTTGCCATTTTTCATATGTCGTGTAATCTATTTAATTCTCTGCGACAAATGAAATGGCCACGGAGAGCTTTAGTGAAGATATACTTCATTTAACTCATTAAATTCACTAGTTTTCGTAGTCCACTTGACAAATTAATATCTTTCAATTAATTAAGGTTTTCAGTTGAGATAAACATTTCAAAAATGGCTAAAAGGAGGGAAATTTCAAAAAGGAGGGGTTGAGATGGGAAGTTAGTGTCCGAGTGGGTCGAAGTCACGATAGCTCAAGTGGCGTATTTAGCCGAAGGTCGTGGGTTCGAATCCCGCTCGTGACACTGACTTTTTTATCTCGGTTTATGGGTAATTAAAATCTATTTGTTTATCTACTGAATAATCAATAATTTCCATTTCTAGAATTGTATACATTTTTGCTTTTAAATATTTAAGGTTTAATGTGTCTAGCTTATTGCGGTTGTAACCTATATGTTTTCTGTTATAAGTCGATAGCTCTATGTTGGTTTTTACAATTTATATTAATACTTTTCATGAAACTATACTGCTATGTAATGGATTAGGAACCATCTATTTCGTAATGCTTTATGTTAACCTATTAAGGATACTAGAAGTTTTTATCAGATGTTAATTTAATGTTCTTTATTTAAGGGTGATTAAAAACTATTTATTTATCTCTTGGTTAATAAACAATTTCTATTTCTAGAATTATGTTTTTTAAATTGTGATAAATTTATATCAATATCATCATAGATACCATTAGAAACGAGACGCCGTGAAATATATTTTATTATCTCATTTAGGAATTCTTTTAGGTTATTTTTTCTTTAAAAAGTATCACAAATCTACTAGAAAAGGAGGTTAAATCCGTTCTTGAAGAGCTTTCTAAATTGACGAAGTCCCTGAAGTTGACACTTATGACATGTATTCTGTCAGGCTCCGGATGCATGGTTCGAAAACGAATAAATTACTTAGCGCATAAAACGCAGGGGCTTTTTTGGTGCGGAAGGGGGGGTTCTTCCCGTGTTATAAACCTTTTTATTATCTTCCGGCAAAAAATCGGACGGTCGCCTTGACCCGTTTAGATTTGGTTGACTACGATGGGTCCACGATGCCCAGCGACCTTGCGATGAACTATCCCATTACTATGGGATCGAGGGTTGTACATGATTCGGGCGGAACTGACTTTAGACTTATAAACCGGATCCAAGGTTTCTTCCTCCGTAATATATTGTTCGGGAACTAATAATCGAATATTAATTGCTTAGGAGAGAAACTATTTCCGGCTGAAAGTAAAACCTTGTAAATACGACAGTACGGCTCACTAAGTGTAAAAACGATGTAATTAACATCACATATAGCTGGAATTTTAACTTAGAATGTTTTGCCTTTTTATATAAAACGTTACATAATTGAGTTTTAGTGTATATCAATCAGTTTATCTAGTATGAAGCTATCTAACTAGCATTTAATTTGTCTCCTTTCCCTATCTCTCTTTCTCATCCTTTCTGCCCTCTCATCCCCTCTTACTCTCTTTATTTTGTTCTTTCTTTCTAGCTTTATCCTTTATGTTTCTCTGTTTACCTCATTTTGGTTTTTTTCTTTCTCTTTCTTTTTGCTTACATTTTCACGTACTCTAATTCTTTTTTCCTTTTGTTATTCTCTCTCTCCCTTTCTCTCTCTTTATTTCTCTTATGTTCTATATTTGTCTGTCTATCGCCCTCTTTTTGTTTTTGTATTTATTTCCTCTTTTTTTCATTTACTTACCCTCACTCACTCCCTTCTTAGGCCTTATATTCCTTTTTTTTCCATTCTTTACCTATCCATATATTGATGCCTGTAATTTTAACCATTTTTGTCTGTTTTTGCTTCTTTCTCCCTCTCTTCATCTCCCTTTCTCCCTCCCCCTCTCTCCCTTTCTATACCACTTTCTATCTCTCACATACACCCTTCTCTTTTTATACTACATTGTCTAATTTTTTACTTCCCCTTTATCTCTCTCTCTCTGTCCCGCCTCGTCATCTCTCTCTCTCTCTCTCTCTCTCTCTCGCACGCACGCACGCACGCACGCGCACACACCCACCTTGTTGCATACATTGTCTCTTTTTCTTTTAATGTACATCTTTCTTTATCCTTCTACCTTTCTCTATCTACCTACTTTTGCCTTTCCTTGGGAACACCTGGTGCATGACTGCGAACTACATGAACACATGAGGGCAAAGCTAATACGAAAGGTAGTCTTAGGAGGAGGGAAGTGGCAATATTAAAAGAATTTCATCAATAAGCGATAATCTTTATTAATTCAATGAACTTTGACCTAATACAATTTTTAATATATACTGGCAATTTACACAACATTGCACCAACAATATTAATTTATGAGCATTTATGTTTTTGTTTTCTTGAAAAAAAAAAAAAAGTTTAAATAGGTATACAGAGAAAAAAATACATACTACCAATATCAATGTATTTCTTGTATATAAATTTGACTAAACTGCGTTCCTATTTCTGTTAACATCTCTCTCTCTCTCTCTCTCTCTCTCTATATATATATATATATATATATCATAATTAAATATGAAAGTATTATTTAACAAAATTAAACAAAAATGATTATAAAAAATATCTAATTATATTAGCAAATAATCAAGATCAACAACGTCCAATACAGATGTAATTTGAATCTGATACACCTACTTGTAAAAAATTGAATGTAAGATGTACTCTCTAAACACCTGTAATCTTAATCGGAGCAGATGGAAATATCCCTCTCGCAATGGTTACTTGTGAGTGGGAGTGGCAAACAATTTAAAACACACACACACACACACACACAACGGCTTTTCGAGATTATTAGATCATATTCGTACTCAGTAATTAAAGCGAAGAATTTAAATTGTATGATAAATATTTGGTCAGGCCTTCTTTTCGGAAATAAGCCGCTTATTTTTGGCAACACATAAAGATAATTGTGAGACTTGTAGCGGAAATATTGTATTTTGAATTAGCTACCAGTCAAAGTATGATCTTCGGGTAAATAACATAACTGAATTTTTCTTTGAACGGCGAGATAAAGGTGAATAAATATTCACGTAATCCAGTTTAACGATTTAAAACCAGTAGACATATTGTATACGGTTCGTAATGGATTATTAAGGAAAGTTTTTTGTTTACACTGGTAATTTACACATCGTTGTACCAAAAATATTATTCCTGTTTATGAGTGCTTATATTTTTGTTTTCTTGACACAAAGCATGTTTTAAATAGGTATATAGAGAAAACAATACAACCTACCAATATCAGTGTATTTCTTGTATATAAGTTTGACTAAACTGCGTTCCTCTTTGGTTTTGTTGTGCCGCTATTTATTTTTATTAACATCTAAGCTGTTATATTTTTATTTTTATTTAATCCCAACTGAATCATTTGTTTACTCTTGGCCTTCTAATATTGGATGGCTTTCAAGACGTTTGTAAATCAACTACCAAAATACCGATGATTCTATGTATTTTAATGATCTTTCAGCTCGGTTTTTGAAAACATTATGTCGAAAATAACTTGCTCTCTAAGAAAAAGATTTGTTTTTAAATGATAACAGGAGACGGGCTAAGTGGATCAGAGATATTTCCGGCTGTTTTTACCGGTTAGTGCTAGACATAAAATAGAGGATCTGACGGTCCTAGATGTACACAAGTTTTTATTCTTTAATGCTGTCTATTTTTACCAAAATGAAGGAAAATAGTATGAATAATTCGTAAAGCTTGGTCTAATTTATGGAAAATCATCATAACACTTTCTAATTAAATTCTAAAATTTATCTAATCAAAGTAAAATTAAATCGTAATTTTTCTGCCTGCGCGTTCCCTGTTGTGTTTTATATATCTTCAAATTCAGCCAATTTTCTATTTTGTTTGAAAACACGACTTATAAGGTCTAAGTTGTAGTACAACTTTCAGTACATTACTTAATTTCATCTGTATAATTTTTGTTTTAGACATGAGCGGGGTGGTGTCGAGGTGTCCGGCCGAGCTGGAGGCCCGGATCCTCCAGCTTGAGGAGGAGTTAAAAGCGAAAGAGAGCGAAATCCTGGAGTTGAGGTCCCAACTGGACAAATTCCAGTCGGTGTTCCCCTATCACATTTCCGGAAATAATACCAACAACAACAACAACACCTACTACAACGCCAAGGGCGAGTTGTCTCGGCCGAGGAAACAGCGTGCCCAGGGTATTTCCGCCGAACCACAGGATTTTGCAACCATCCAGGAGTTGGCCAACACCAAGTTCCCGTCCTACAACAAAAATGACAGGTAATTGATAGCTTAACAAAACAAAATTTAGTATTATTACCATGGGAAAAGCCCTAACAGATGAATACTAAGACGACAAGCAAACGTGTGGGTTAATTTCGACGTAGGTTATTTTTGCGACATGTCGTCTTTATTTATAGAAAAAAAATTTTTTTTCTCCAAAGGTACAATAATCGATTAGGCTTTCACTGGGCAACATTCAATTTCATTCTAAAGCCGCCTTGAACTGACATCTCCAGATATCAACAGTCATTCTAATCATTCTGATGGAACATGACTATAAAAAATAATAGTAGTAGAAAATGCTGTTTTCATTATCTATAATAGGCCGTTGGACAAGTTAATTTACTTTGAAAAAGACCTTCATATTACTATAATAGTTTTTTGGAAATAGTTCGCTCGGTTAATTTTAAAAATTTGACATTACCAAATTTGGATGTTTAAGACAATCTGAGATGTAATTATTGCAAAAGTATAAATGGAATACAATATTTCTACTTACATACCTAATATATTGTAAAATGTAGGAGTGCACAACGTAGCGTTTAATTTTGAAATATGAATGGACTTCATAAACCTGTCTACAAGGTTAATTTTCTTATATATTTACAATTTACAAATACAATTTACAAAAAAAAAAAAAAAAAAAATTAGCTAGCAGGAACAATCATAAAAACCTTATAAAATTAAAATATAAATATTGACAATATTGTGTAAAAGGATTATTCCCAAATTTAATATCTTTTACTTAAAAAGTAATTACAAATTTGAAGAATGCCTCATCGTAAAACACTAGTTTACGTCAATTCATTTATTTAACTTGGCCTATTGGAATAATTTTAGATGCATTTATTTATAAAATTGTTGATAACACATATTTTAACGGACTTGGGTTACGAAACTTTTTGTGATGATTCTAGGTCGCAAAATATTAGACAGGTGTCGGAGCTTTCCTTGCCTATGGGCACCTTAGAAGCCGAGAAAAAAAGTATTTTAAGTAATATAAATAAATTATTTGTTAATATCGTTTTATATCCCGTTTGGCATTTATTTCAAGGTTTTTATATGTGATTTTTTGTTTTTTAATCTAGGATAAGAATATTTTCTTATTATTATAAGCTTACGCTTATATATNTATATATTTAGCTTATGCTTGCTTATTATTATAAGCATGACCGAATTAGATCAGATTGCAAATATAAAAAGTTACAAAAATTAAAAGACGTAGGTCAAAATGTAGTTGTTTTTTTTTTTAAATTGCTTTTTTACGAGGGTTCCCAGCACAAGAGGTTTGCCCGTTTGCAAGTATGTAGGGTTCGAATGCAATGCCGCTGGATTCGAACGCTGGGCCTTTACCATAAGGCGCCGTGTCAACGCCTAAACCGTTGCGGTCACCCAGATATTTTTTTTCTCATTTGTTTTACGTACCAATTAACATCCTTAATTATGAATTTTCATTGCAATAATAAAATAGATATTTTTGGGGTGGTTTTGAAAGCAATTTTTCTCGCCGATGTCAGTTGTTCCACTTAAAAATTATGTCATAATTCCTCTGAATTTTTTTAATTTTTTTATTAGGTTTCGTGGTCCGCTTGACCAAATAAATTCTTTTTAATTAATTAAGGTTTTGGTTGAGTTAAAAAAGTCAGTGTCACAAGGGGGATTCGAACCCACCTTCGGCCAAATACGCTGCGCTCTACCACTTGAGCTATCGTGACTTCGATCCACTAGGACAATAACTTCCCATCTGTACCCCACCTTTTGAAGTTTCCCTCCTTTTTGCCATTTTTCATATGTGGTCTAATCTATTTGATTCTCGGCGACAAATGAAATGGCCACGGAGAGCATTAGTGAAGATATACTTCATTTAACTCATTAAATTCACTAGTTTTAGAATTTATTTAGAAGTATACTTCATTTTGTTTATTACGTTTTATTAGGTTTCGTGGTCCGCTTGACCAAATGAATTCTTTTCAATTAATAAAATTGAGATAAAAATTCCTCTGAATGTTATCTAAGTTTGTACAGCCGTTGGAATGCCGAAGATTCATTTTTTTCTGGCTAATATATGTCTTTTTTAATGAGAAGAAAATTAAAATAATAGCTCAAACGTTTTATTTGAATTTAATCATCAGTGATGATATTACTGAGTCGACGTTTGTGCCATTATGTGTAACTTGTAAGGTTCAAAACCCCCCATACAGTGGATTTTCATACTTATCCACCATTTTTCCGATTTTCGAGGGTAAATGGGGGAAATTTCTGAGGTAATTTTTTTTCATTTTCCTAAAAATTTATATTCAGTGGTTTTTCAGTGGACTTCGCTGCGTCTTAATTATGTATATCAATATCTACCATATCGACGCTTCGGTCAGCTCGCTTTGAAGTACATATATTTTATTTACATATTTTTAGCTTGAAACATAATTGATATTCGTTATACCCTGAATTGTTTTAATTAATTTCGGAAATTTTTTTGATATATAATTGTGAACGCCAGAACCGCCGATCTAAATTCTGGTTTGGAACTTGGCCCTTTATTCACGGTTAGGATTTTGTTTTGATTTATAATGCTGAAAACAAGAGAGTTTACTTCTATTCATTTATTACATACCATCACCAAATTTATGATGATTAAGACAAGTTTGGATGGAATTATAGAAATATTGACAGTATTCTAAGTAAAGAACATTGCTAAATTTATTTCTTCCTTTTCGAATAAAAAAGTTAATGACGATTTTCAAGTAGGCCCTTGCTAATTTGAAGATGGCTCTACATAACAAGCGATTTCAGTAGCACATTTCTAAAACCGGGCCGTTTCGGGAGGAGGTCGAACGGTAGGTGTTTACGATATGATTCCAAAGGGATTTACTGCGAATCCCCGAGACCGGGACCCGATTAACATTATATTTCCCCTGCCCGTGTTGACGCCATTAAAAAGTATTTATGAACGTTTTTATCACCCTGACATAAAATCCAAGTCCGTATATCATCCAGATATGGACCTCGGTTCGGCTGTTTTTTTCGGCGGTGGCCAAATGTCAAAATCTGTGAGAATATCCTTGATTGTGCGTGAAGGAACCGGATCGCTCGGTATAAACTATTGAGTGTTTTTACGGCCTGATAAATAAATTTACGATTTTACTCGCGGGGGGTGTATGGCGATACTTGGACTTACTTCCTTGCAATTAAAGTCTACCGTGAAAAACCGTTATTAATCATTTCAACGTACGAATTCCTTCGCCAGTGATCATTTATTGAACTATTTCACATTGTTTACCCTATTATCCATTTCTACTATTTGAGCTCGAGTAAGGACGTTACGAATTTGACCGTGTGTTTTATCCGTTGGTAACCTTTTATAATTTTTCTGACGTACAAATTTTGACAAACCATTTTTAAAAACGTGACAATGCATGATTTATTATGTTTTCCTTTATTTGGTAACAACCTTACCCTGACACAGACTCATTTTATTTCTAGAATTCTAACATTCATCTATATACATACTATTCACTTAACACCTATCTGATTAAGGGTGATTTATCCGTAATTTGTTAGAAAAAGGGTTTTCAAATGCTAAAGAAGGTTGTTAAGAGGGTCAAAAACACGTAAACGATCTTTTTTTAAAATATGTTGAATGTTGGCGTTTTTGATGATCAAAAACCACCAGGCTCATATAGATCCACACGTAATGGATTTTTGAAGCCTTGTGAGTTTCTTCAACATATCTGGGGTAAATGTTGTCCGAATGACCATAATTTCTGGAGCAGTATGGTAAGAACCCGGTTGTTTTCGGTCATCAAAAACCCAAATATTCAGCAGTTCTGCACACAAAGCAGGATAAAAACCAAAGAAAAAGGCTTTTGTAAACTACATTAAAAATGTATTACATGTTATACATATGTAGATTTCTAAGATATACATAACAAATATCACAATATAATCAAGTGCAGGTTGATACGTACAGTACGTTTTTGCCTATCAAAACCTATGCAAAATAATAAGTACAAAAATTTAATTCGTTCTTCTTGTTGAAAGCAACGTCATTTGTCGGTTAACATTCTCTCGCAGGTCAGCATGTCTCCTTTTCATCCTTCTTAGCTCACGGGTCTTCGGCAGCGCCTGGTCAAAATAAGATGTGATTGGGATGCTTCTTTTATCCCTTTCATCACTTTGTTGATGAAGCTCAGCACACTGATTTCGGTAGACTTTACCCTTTTTAATATGTGTCGCTTGCAGTTTCACAGAAAGGTGGAACTGTCAGATAGGACCGATAAGTGAGAAATACAGTAGCCGTTTTTTAAAAGCGAAATCGACAACTATTATCGAGAACGGGCTTCACAAGACGGGCCAGTCGTCAGAGTGGTTTTATCAGATCTCTCTCATTCTTTTATCACGTGTGCCTAATTATTTGAGAGCCGGCTTCCGGTATCCTAGTTAGATCCGTAACCACCCGTGTCTTTTCAAGTATTCTGTTTTTGTATTTTACTTTTTGTTTTACCTCCTTACACCATTTTTTATTCCAGTCAATAATTTCATAAACGTGTATTAGCAATTGCCTGAAAGTAGTAATCTATTTTTGTTGCTACAATACTGCATGATCATTAGCATACATAGTTGTCCCGGTCAAGTTACATTAGGGGAGGTCGCATAAGTTAAGGCAAGACCCCAAACGCTTCGTGTCCTGACCTCAGCTCGGATAGGTTCAGTCACTGAAGTAAAAGTACACGTAAATTTAATAATGCTTAAATAGGTATACCCCTTCGACAAGGCAACATCGTTCGGAACGTCTTTGTATTCTTGTAGCACTGTCATCCCGGGACGCCCAATCAGCCTGGTTTTTATTTGCCACATGCATTTAGCACTGAAGAGTGGTGTGTTATTTTGTCAATCGTGCCCTTTGTAGAATATTTATTTGACAAAATCAGCGAGAAAGCGATTTCCTTGCAATCGGAAACAACCAATCTGCAGATTCAATGCAAAAATTTATTGATTATGTGTTATTGTAAGAAAAGAGGCACGTTTAGATTTTACACTCAAGTTGATTTAAAAGCAATAAAACAACTTTTGGCAAAAATCGGTTTTGAAGCTTGATGTCCCTA